TGGACACGGAAAGCGAAAGAGCAGTTCAAGAAGCTCTGAATGAGGTAAGTTGGTTGGGTTGCCCCCCTCCCCCTCCCTAGAAAATTTGATAAAAAAAGGTGAGTCTTTAGGCTAGAAAGGAGCGTACCACACTTTGCATCGCTCACAGACTTTCCACGATCAGAGATGCTGATAAAATCATCGTTTTCGACGAGGGTAAAATCGCTGAAATGGGTAAGTGGTTTCTTTTTGTTATTTCCTACTGTGCGACCATCTATTAAGCTATCCAAGTATGCAAGATCTGAAACAAAAAAGCTGAAAAGTAGTGGATTACAATGGCGAGACAGAATTTTATCGATCATCAAAAACTAAGTAGAACCATAGAAACGAGTACCTTTCAAATTTACTATCAGAACTAGTGCAAAAGGTTGCTTTTAGTGATAAAACAGCACCAAATTGAATATGAAAATTTCTACTTCACAGAGTGAACATAATCAAAGAGTTTAAAAATTGTTCAAAAATTAGAACAAAAATGGTGATTACAGGCATCCATCGGGTCATTATTCAATGATTTCTCTACACCCTTAGCACAACCTTAGCTTGGAAAAAAAACGGAAACTTATTTTTTTGCTTGTTAGCTTTTTGCACGCACCTTTCTGCAAAGTTCATCTAGAACACGACTTCTCATCCGCATATGTTTTTACAGGAACTCACGATGAACTTATGGCAAAAGAAAACAGCATCTATAAATGTATGGTAAAAGCTCAAGAAATCTCCAAAGGACAGGAAGACACCACTTTAGACGGTAACCCTCTATTTTACTCTAAGATGTTGAATCAGCTATTTTTACAGACGTAGATCCAGCTGAGATCCATCGAGGTGTAGGTAGAGAAAAGCCTGCCGTGACTGAGGAGGACCTGAAGCGAAAAGCCAGTCTTGCTAGGGAATCCGCGCGAATTCGACAGAGTATGATCAGCACAGTAACAAATGAGCAGGAGTGGGAAATTGAATGGTGATTTTGTTGGTTGCATGGTGCAACTGCACATCAAACACCAGATTTTGAAATTACGCAGGTGATAAATTTGATATTTTAGCGCTCGTGAAGAATTAGCCGAAGAAGGAGCGCTAGAAGCTTCACTTCTCGACATTTTTGCTTACGCAAAGCCAGTGAGTACTTAAAATTTTCAGGTGCAAAGATGATCGTATTTACAGTACTGTAATTTTTGAAGCAATGTGTGTATTGCACAACACGCGCAGTATATCGCGACTCCTCTGCTTGCAAATTGCCAACTTCCACTGAACATTTTGAGCCCCTTTTCTATTCAAGTAAATAATCACAAAAAGATAAATTGTTTATTATTCAACTGTATCTCGCCTGAGAACCGTAACCGTTTGTTTTTAACCTAAGCAGCCATAAATTACCGCGCGCGATGTGCAGTTTCACATACCAATTCAAAGATCCTACCGTACTTCCTTGTAGGAACTTCCACTGGTTTCCGTGGCCTTGATTAATACCATAATCAGAGGACTCACATGGCCAGTTTTCGCAATTGTGTACGGAAAATTATTTTTGGTATGATTACTAAGCTACACGTACGCAGAGAGAAAATTATACTTTTAGCTCCTCTCGAGTTCTGACACGGAAGCAATGGCTGATGAAAGTATACTGAACTCCATGCTTTTCCTGGCATTAGCCGTTGTGTCTGGAGCAACCACTTTCTTATCTGGAGCACTCTTTGGTATGACAGGAGAAAAAATGGCGACACGCTTGCGAATGGATGTTTTCAAGGTATATTTGAAATATGGGCCCGTAGTAAACCCCCTCTCACATCAACTTGGCTGGGGCGGGCCTACGTTGAACGTAGACCGACTTAGTCGGGCATCCAGTGATATCGATGCAGATACGGATTACCATTTGGACATGGTAACCACGTACGTTCTTAAGAACGCAACTATTGGATTGGTCGAAGGGCTAAGTGGTTGGTATCCAACGTGCAAGGCCGTGATTCGAGACCGCATCGAGGGGCATTTGCGGTGTTGCCGGGTAATCTCTGTTAGCGACCGTTACGAAAAAAATCGATGATGACTGCTATCAAGGAACCCAGCAAATGGATGGATTTAAAAAAGACGATTTTTTAACGCAAATTTCGAGAAAAAACGAATGTTGGAACATTTATCAAATAAAACATTCTGAAAGAAAGACCTGCGCAAGCTCTGAATAAAAGAAAATCCCTGTTCATGTTTTCCTCGCTGAAATCAGCTTTTCATTGATCCTCTCCTCTTTGAGCCCCGGTATTGGGCAATTTTGCGCATTTTTGTACAGCAACAGTACGTCGCTAAATTGTCCCGTAAGTTACTCACGAGCAACTTAGGGGAAATTT